AACATTCCATGCACCTATATTAGTTGCCTTTTTGGTTGTTAGAAAAGTCATCGGTCTCGCGACTACCGAATAATCTCTGCTTTCACCATGAAGTGTCATAACTCCTCAAGATGAAGATCCTTTAACGCAGAGGGCAGAATTTCAAAGGCTTAATTTGCTATTTTTTGTTAGCATTGTAAGATCCATTTTGAATGCTTTGTGTGTTTGTGAAAATCCCTCCATGTATATACTTGCACTTTGTTCCTATTGATCCTCTTAGTTATACATTGTTAACATTTGACTACATTTGAATTGTTAATATTTGTATTTTATTATAGTTTTCGTTTTTACTACACCTTCACCAATTCCCCATGTTTCTTCCCGAACTGGACTTATGTTGTTTTACTTTATACTAAGTCTGGGTGGCAGCCATTTTGGTTTATCCCTGCTTTTGATTGCTTGACCTGTGTTGACTGGAATTGTGCATTTTGGTTGTGAATAGAAGCACTCTTCCAGAATTGAAAACACTCTGTTATAGAGCGACCAATTATTACCTTTTGAACGAATCTGTACGTGATCTATCCAGACAGGATAGAATAACATTTATTTGTGGTGACTGGTAATTTTCTTGCATCCTTTATCAACTTTCTTATTTATTGTAGTTTAGATTTGATCGATTGAACAATTATTGGTCGGATAGCTGAGTGGTTATATTTGTTTAGGTAATAATGTACACTTAAATTAATGATAAATTATAGAACCGTCATCTTACCCAATTACTTTGTTTTGGTTTCAATCGGGCGAGGGCGCGTATCTAACTCATCCAGACAGCTGTCCTTCACTCCAAACCGTAGTTTGTATCTTACAGCATATTTTCATTGAATAAGGTTGCTGACTCAATTCCCAACCCTTCTGGTTGATGGGGTTTTCGGAACTGACAGACACAGAACATAAACTAACCACAGTCTTCGGATTGTAAATTGATGGTCGTAAAAATTAATGACAGCCAATTTTACTGATATTTCCAACCCTGCTCAAGGTCATTTGACTTAGGGAGTTTCTTTTTCTAGTCATAACTATAGTTTCTATAGAAACTTTTTTGATGGATTAGGGGACAACCTTACGCTAACCCGCACAGAAAAAAGTTTGGGACTTGGGATATTTAATACGTAGCTTATAAGCTGTTGATCTTAAGAAACACTATTACTTATGAAGCAAGCCAAAGGAAACGATGCTTTATTAAACTAACCAAACAAAATTAAAGATGCCTTTTACGTATACGGATTGCGAATTCTACTTTTAAATTATATGAGGTCATGAAGAACACCAACCTTAGAGAGAATGAAATCCTAGTCAAAGAAAAGTGTTGCGGTCTTGACGCTATTGGCGCCTAATATTTTTCGTTCGTACTGCAGTTCCAATACTACACAAAGTCTGTCAAAATGACTGTGGTTACATTTTTTAAGTATGATAAACTGCTTGATGCATAGAAAAGCTCTTATTGATATTGCATTGTTAACACGGGCTAAGAAAGACTGTATTGTCTAGTACCATGTCAAGCCCACATGAGTTATTCTAGCATCCAGACAGACCAATCGATGCATTCTTCCCGAGTCTTATTTTCACCTTATCAATTATTTGCTAACTAACTTTGACTGTTTTTTATATGGGCATATTTGTTAGTGACTTACCCTATTGACCGACTAAAAATATAAAGTTGTAGCGGTAAATATATCCACAAAACAAAATAGCTCTAAGTTTTCGACATTGGATGCTGACCACATTAGTTCCAACGGACTCACCTATCTGAAGTCACTAGATCATGCATCCGCATCAGATCACAAGTGGGAACGCCGTGCTCAACAACTCCTGCAATCGCTAGCCGGATTAGTTCAGACGATGCTCGATATATTGACAGTCTATCAAATATACCTTCGAACCTCCTCGCTCCGGTCTTTTGATTTCACTTAATGGGTACGATTCATAGTAGAAGGTGTTACTGGTTAAAGCTTTGTCAAACTCCGAATACCTGCGGCATCTTCAAGTTAGATGTACCTGTTTATATATGTTGCACCAAAAGCATACATGGTTTACTTCAGCTTGAGTTATTTCGGTTAAGTTTTGGCATTTTTCAAGTTCCTTATGAGTTGCTTTTTCTTCGACTGCTCTGCTTTTACATCTTTTAAGATGGTCTGCTCTACTCACAAATGTGGACGGCCAAATGGTTTCTACACAGTGGATGTAGGAATTCTATGTGATGAGTATAAAAGGCGTGTACCAGTTTAAATAAAAAATGCCCAAAGCCTAACACTCATTGACTTTATTAATTTTATTGTTTAGGTAAGAAGCAATCGGCCTTCTGGTGTTGGACATAAAGAAAGTGTGTGGGAGCTAAATTAGTAACATGAGTATTGACAACGCAGAATTTGTCAGTGTACTTAGTGCTGATGGGAAGCAAGTCAAATACCCATTTGTGAAACGTCCAAAATGAATTTAAGGATGAGAAACAGCTGTATATTGGTGGTCACGATTTAACAGTTGTACCTGAAGACTAAAATGAATCATTCACCTCTTCAAATAAGTCTAGATGTTGCTATCCCGACTGACGGTAAATAGAGGATAGCGCGGAAACAAAGATAAGGTAAAATGTCAAAAAGCGCTCCCTTTTAGTTGACAAGTCTTTGATAAACGCACGCTTTGAGACAGAGAACTCCACTGAAGTCCCAAAGTAAGAACGATCTGATCTCAGTGAACATCATCGTGAGTGATCAACTCGAATCAAATGACTGTGAAAGAAAACCAACGAGGCATAAAACGATAACGCAATCGAAAACCGCGAACACGACTTTCGAAGGAATCAAACCCGTACGTAAAAGAAAATGACTCTGTTAGAAAGCATGCACACGCTTTGGGGTTTGTGGAATTCGGCATCAGAAATATAGTGACATAAAACATATAAAGTGTGTGTATTGCAAAACTAATAAAACCATGTAAGTGGGTTGCAGGCGAGACCGAACTAAGAAGGGTGTTTAATTACGTACTCAGAAGTTACAATTAAAGGTATGTTATACTAAATAATGGAAACGAATCTAGTAGTTTGAATATTTCTGTCTGACTAGATCGTCACTTGGGGATGGAATCAAGTGAAAGAATGACCTTACTGAGTTAGAAAGTCGATAGCAAATTATCGAAGGAAACATTAGGATGCAGAGTTTTCGGGTGGTCAGGTATTCAGATTCAATGCTTCCGAAACCTGTATGAGTAGAACGAGTTATTCTCGATATACCTTAAATGAGTGCTACTTAAACACTCGTAATCTGAGAAATAGAATGTCCGAGCCAATGTTGGTGGTTGTCGAAGATAACAGTTGGTCGGTCGATTTGACATCCATAAATCTTAGTAAGGTATTCGGTGAGGTTTCGCATCCAGGTTCTGTGCAGCAGATTTCGAGCATTGGAATAGCAGATGCGGTGCAATAATGGGCAAGTGCAGTACAACAAGATACGTCATAGGCTCACTACCCCCTCTTCTCTCAAGTCATCAAGTATATTGTCCGTAGATGATATCAAAATCTGGAGAACAATAAGTGGTGGGTTTCGAAGTTAAGACCTAGAAACCAATTCTACGGAGAATGTGCTAGTACACGTCGCACACGTTGATATATGCCGGTATTCTGTCAACGGTACATCGCCTCCACGCGTGTAGTAAAACAAGGACCAAAAGGTAAGAGTAATTTATAACTTTAATAAAGTTACGTACACTCAATTGTATTGTATATTGAATGGTTAACACTTCTGTGCATTTTAGTTGATTCAACTACCAATATTTACATATCCGGAACATTTGCAATCTATTTCTCACTTCATTCATTCTCTTGGTCTTTGAGTATGCACTTGACAAAAATAAATAGGCAGCCAAACTAATGTAACAAGATGATCCGACCTACAGTTATTGTGTTGATCCATGTGATAAACTTGACCGGAGAGTTCGTTCAACAATGACTGTCGTGATCCTTTACAAACAGACACGGAAGCGCGTTAAGTGAAATCTCATCATATTTCATCCAGAACCTTTTGCTATCTAACATCTATCATCACGAACTAAGCTCGTCTGAAAAGTAATGGATAACTAACATCACCTTTCACACCCAGTCACAACGCTTTGTAACAATTTTTCAGGAACCCGATATTCTAAAAATATTGAGGCCCACTAGACTCTTTATTTCAGATGTTTAATTTTATCTTGTCTGTTGTATGGCCTTCTGCGCTAATTAAATAATACTCAACCAAAATGAGTTATCTGAGAAAACATATAATTATCCTCCCTACTTTATGGAAATCCTTTAGCGCACTATCAAATTCAATCCAACATCTAAATCGCTTGTTCAGTATAATACGTTGAAACGCCTCGCTTACTTCCACTGAAATTTCACTTGAGCACGAAGCACTGCAGACAACACGCATTAATTATTAAAAAGGTTATTCCTTAAAAAAACAACAACAAATATTTAGGACTTACCCGTGAGTTGACATTTCGTCTTAACTGTTTTGTTTAAAGCGATGCACAAAAACTTTGCGTACCTATAACTTTTAAGGTTATCTTATCTTTCTAACATTATTTTCTGGATTTTATCAACAATTTATATGAAAGTGATGACGTTTACCGCAACAGTTGGGATCACAGATCACGTTACGAAGCAACAACAGAGCTAACGTGTACCCTACAAAACAGATAATGATAAATTAATGCTTTTGGCAGTTATTTTGTGCTTTTTCATGCGGCAGAAGATGACTTAAATATGAAAAAAACTTATTACTCATACGACACAACACACCTACGGCAATTGAAATACGGAATGACCGCTTATAGTCAAGCCGTTCAAGGTCGTTGAAACGAAAGGGCGGGCACATTTCAAAAGGACCTAACGTTTAAACCTTGCCTGTCTTCCAGCGCCTAAAATGGGGAAAGTAATGTCGATGGCGCGTCGGTTTATAATAAATTATAACGTAGAAGACAGAGCTATGAAATATTTGGAGGTGAACAAAAATGTTTTCAAGGCTCCTCCTAAGCATCCGGGAACCGTTTCAGTAGTGGACGAACGATATGAGAAACTATCAGCGCATAATCCAGAGTTGGATAAAAATGTTAACTCTTTAGGGATAGTAGCAAAGTCTTTAAATAAAGGCATATTACCCGAAGGTATGGAATACGTTAGCAAAACAACGCGCAAGCTACCACAGGTTTGTACTTTAATAGAAATATTATGCTAGACGTTAGAAGTATGCTGGCATCTATCCTTATCCTCCACCCAGTGAAGACTTTGGTTTCGTTGTTCCAGAGTCGGTTCCAGAAGGAAGACTAACAATGCGTCAAGCCGTCAAACTTATAGCGACTCATCAGAAAAGCGCTGCAGATATTGATAGTTTAAGTGAATTGTTTAGCCTTGACAAAGAGAAAGTAAACACATTCACTATAATATATTTTACAGACTAAACAAATCCTTGACTACTTTTCGTTGTTTGAAGTCCCCGATAAAGGTATTTGGACTCCTCCTTCAATGCAACAGTCCGAACTGAAGTTGTTAGATGAGGCTGTATCTTACGAGCAAAATGACCTGGAGGATTTGGGAGGAAATGAATATATTCAGCGAAAGACAGTGTTAAAGCAGTTGAATAGAAAATAAATGAACCGCTTTTGTTCCCTATAAATAAATAGTGAATACATGCTTGCGTGCTGACTCTCACTCCTATGTATGATTATAAGCCTTTTGTTTCTTCATAGGAATGCGTGCGCTGAAATCTTATTATCGTATTTACCGGCTTTGTGGTGTACCTTGTTTCCCTACACCTACTTCTCGTTCGTGTGCTGTCAAACCGTCATGGTTGCCCGAAGATCTTACAGAACATTTTGATGCTTTTAAGAAAAATATAATATCCGAGTATGAAAACGTCACTAAACTCATGACATCTGGGGCAAAAGAATGTGACCTGTAAGTTAAGAAATGCATCACTCTTAAAGTCTGATCAGTTATATAAAAATGTGACAGTTGGTCAGACGTTTTGTCGTTTTGCAATGCAGATAATTAGCCATTATCATGTCCCCGATAGTAACATCACTAATCAGTGTTTAGGTAACTAATTAGGTCCTATATCTTATTCTATCTGTGAGCGGATATGTGGCTTGAAAACAACTAAGTATAGTGTTTCAACTGGTTGGGAAACATTATTTATAGTTATATTGTTTAAAGTGAAGTTAGTATGCTTTGCGTACACGATTTTCTAAAGTCATTTACATTAGTCAGTCCTACATTTACTACACTATTTTAGTTATGTTAAAATCAAGATATTGAGAAGACGTGATGTTGATTATTAAATTTGTGAGTCGTCCGTTTAAGTCGTATAAAAGATGAAAGCTCCTCAGTCTCATGGGTCAGAACGAAGCATACCTCAGTGGTGTATTTGTTTCTTTACTTTGCTAAAAATTCATAGCATTAATATTTCTTGTCGATTTCGTAATTTATTCCCTATATTCTTCCTCACATGGTTTTATTTTTTCTATTGAAGTAACCCGGCGAACTGTTATGTCGGCTCACTTAAATCAATACTCGTGAGATTGGTAGTTTTATCGGGCAAATTTTATTCACGAAGATTGTCTGTGATTTCTATAATGAGTTATCTGTGACTTAACTTTCAGCCTTTTAAGGATATATTTACTGATTGAAATCTCACTGACCAACAACCGTACTTTTAGGAAAGAAGTCAACGATATTTTAAACCCATATGTCAGGTACATAAATTTCTCAGTTGAGTGTTACCAAAAGTATATTACTGGAGGTTAGATTATTTGTTATGTGAAAATAAGTTACGTAATCTACCAGTCCAGAATAACTCATTTTTTATTGTTTTATTGATTGCATTCTTACTTCACAACTATCATTCTGGCCCTTTCTTATTTTTAATACTACTGTTGTTACCACCACTATTATTCTTTACTGTTAATTCATTTCTGACTATAATACTTTAAGTAAAAGGAACTTCGAGTGGTTTACTAAACCACGTGGTGGATATTTTACTCACTTGATTTGGATATCAGTTAACACGATTTTTGTTCCAAACGTAGCTACACTTGGTTAAAAATAAAATAATGAATTGGTTATAGTACATATTTGCCTATAAGAAAACACAGTGTATTTTGTACACTACTGGTGTAAAATAAACATATAAGGTGTTAATGTGGGCAGCAAGTAACTTTTTTCCTACGTATAAACATTTTAACCGCTTTGTGGGTGTAAGATTCCATCGTTCAATGAGCATTTGCAAATCCAATTTTCTTAACTAGTCACAATACACTTATTATTGTTGACCATTCATTAAGCACATGAGGTAAAATATTCTCCTATGGTTCTTATCACTTGAATAGCTTGGAAAAAAACCATGGAGTGCAGATAACGCCAATCAATAATTTATGATTTGTAACTTAAGAATCCAACCTGTCTCATAAACTGTATTTTACAGCCCTCGTATCCATCGTTAAAGAAATCACGGTTAGCCCACTGGTTTAGAATCTATTGGTCTATATTTACCATTTCTAATTAGTTTGTATTTTTGGCTAAACGTCCAAGGTGTATACTGCTTAAGAATTTACGAAAGTAATGTATACACCCGTTCATGGTCTCTTATTTTCATAAGTTTCTCGAGTAATATAATTGTTCGAGTCAATAGGTTCATCATACATCATATTCTTTATATGTTTCCACGTTGATGAATGTACATTTATTTACATCAATCTTTTTTTCAGTATTCCTTTATCTGAATGTTGGAAGAATTTAAGACCAATAGTAGATGTGATTGAAGAACTGGATATATTACTTGAAGCTGATAAAGAAGTAGACCAATTAGTGGCAGGTGATTTTTTTTTTATGAATCATCTCATAAAATACAGTATCACAATACTTTGGTACCAACACATTCATATTCTAAGTGTTTTTAGACAACTGGTTGGTATTACTTACTTTCACTTCTAGTGTGTTTCTTACTCAAGTACTTTGTGAATAAGTTAACTAAATTAACTTTAAAATTGCTTAGCCAAGAATTATTCCAGTGTTTTTCTGTTCATGAAGTTTAGTATACTAACAGTTCACAAAGTAGGGGCTTTGTTACAATACAATTAGTCCTCATACTCCCTTAATATGATTTAGGTATAATTCGACTTAGAATACTCAGATGATATAATCCTGTTTGGTGAAGACGCTCATAAAATGCAGAGTCTTTTGGTAACACTGAGCAACAATGCCAGAATGTTTGGAATGCCCTTCTCTCCCTCTAAATGCAAGTTGTTGCTTCAGGACTGGTCTGCGTCAACACCTGAAGTAAGAATAGGGAGTGAAGTAGTTGAACGCGTTGACAACTTCACTTATCTTGGAAGTCTGATCAGCCCTAATGAGTTGGTGTCTGACGAAATCTCAGCACGGATTCGAAAAGATCGCTTGACTTTTGCCAACTTACGTCACCTATGGCGAAGGCGAGATATCCGTCTATCAATAAAAGGACGAGTATACTGCGCGGCAGTCCGTTCTGTTTTACTTTACGGCAGCGAAACATATCCATTAAGAGTAGAAGACACTCGTAAGCTACTAATATTTCACCACATATGCCTCAGAGATGTTGCCGGCGTCTGCTGGGATAACCGGGTAAGTAATAGTGAGGTTAGACGCAGGGTATTAGGAAATGATGGTAAATCAATTGATGAGGTTGTGAATCTTCATCGACTGAGATGGTTAGGCCACGTGATACGTATGCCCGAACACCGATTACCATGATGTTCAATGCTAACCGGTGTTCGGGATGGTTGGAAGAAAGTTAGGGACGGCCAAACCAAAACGTGGCATCAGTGCCTGAAGTCACTAACTTCTAGTCTGAGCCATGTTGGTAGATGCAGACTACTTGGTTGGGGTCCGCGTGACTATCGTAACCAATGGTTGGAGACTGTGGTTGACAGGGCTCAGAATCAATCACAATGGCGTCGGTGTATACACTCTATCTTCCCTTAAACTAAGAGATTAAAATTGCTTCATATCTTTCTTTCTACTAACTAATTCTTTCTTCCTGTACTATATCCTTATTGCAATCTTTCTTTGATATATTACCACCTCTGGATTAACTACTTTTATGAATCCGGTGTCCATCTTGTTGTGCTAATGAGATATGGCAACTTGAACCGATGCATATGTGTGCCTGGTCCTACGTTGTAGCTGACTGACATTGACTAAAAACTTGATTGTTTAAAATCATTTGAATTCGAGCTAGAAAGGTTATTTATTAATCATCGTGACTAATGCTCAAGTATTTATGTTAATTGTCTGCTTATGTTGTCGTTAGCATTAGCGATTCTGTAAAGCATCGAACTGAATAAGGGGTACATTGAAGCAAGGACTAAAGCTCCATACCTCTCATCGATTTAAATGAAAAAGTCAAACGCAAAGCAGCGTGAACGTAGCTTGTGATTTTATTAAAATGATTTCTACAGCAATAATCTTATTGGCGGTAAAGATCGTTTTTTATTTAACTTAGTCATAGACATCCTTTTTGAGATAACGCTCATCGCCTGATGTTTCAGGAATTAATCTTTTACCGTGGAATCCTCTTATTTACTTAGAATACGCAAATGATATTGTTCTGACGAAATAAAGTCTTGTGACTGAAGCAATATAAGCATGTTTAGGATCCATTCTTCTCTAACAAGATATATAATGTTGCTTCATGACTAATCTGTGTCAACGCTTGAACTAGGGATTAGTGATGTGATTGAGTGTATCGATCAATTAATTTTATTTTGGAAGTCATTAACCCTAATGGGTTGGTTTGTGATGAAATATCGGCATAAATTTTCAAATTCCAGTTGATTTTTGTTAACCTAAGTCACTTGTGGCGTAGGTGAGATATCTGTTCGTCAACTAAAGAACTATTTGACTTTGTAAAACGAAGCCTTTGAAAATGAATAAGTGCAGACTTTGTGGTTGGTGTTCGCAAGATTATCATAATCAGTAATTTGAGACTGGATAAAATGGCTCAAGATCGTTCACAATGTGCAAGTGCATTCTCTTGTCTTCTTACAGATCCCAATTTTATAAACTTCCCATAATTTTATTTCACTAATTCATATTTTCTCGAGTTATGTCTTTTCTATCGCCACCGATATTGTCACTACCTCTACTACTCTGCGGCTTGCCCTGACCATTTTATCTCTTCGTACTAATAGTGTACATAGGTCCCACGTTCTCCGTTGCCTTTAACCGACTGACTAGTCGACTAAAATCCTCTGCTCTAGTTAGCGATATCGTCGAACAAAGTAAGAATTGTCTCCTTCACCGTATTGATGTCTTTTTATTAATCATAACCGATTTTTCTCTTTATTCAATATTTACTGGAACCGATAATTAGATATTGTCGGTGCTGACACTGAGGATGATGTTGATGATTTAAAAGCGATTGCTGAGTTGGAACGTAAACAAAGAAATGTTCAGCGTGAAGCGTTGGAAAAAAAGGTATCAGATTATTTTCCTCTTCAATGTAGAAAAATATTAATTGTTTTATTGGTTCATTTGTTAGAATATTATTCGTCATATAATATTCGCGTCACAAACTAACTGCGGCTAAACAACCATTGAAAGCCAGGAAAAGCTGG